TCTAGCTATGCATCTGCCGGGAGCCGGAAGATCCAGCTGCAGACTCCGCCCAGGCTGGCCAAGGGCTTGGGGGACCTGGCACCACACAGGCACTCCAGGAGCCCGGAACACCCCGGCAACCACACTGGGGCCCAGTACTTTTTTCCTGTGGCCCGGTACTGGGCCATGGCCCATAGTGTGGGAAACGCTGCCGTAAGCTATAACTGTGTACCTATATACACTTTTTTGAGGGAGGGAATCAGTAGGTTGGAACAGGTGTGGTAGGAGTGAGGGAGTCCTTCAAGCAGTAATATATTATGAACCCAGTCCTTGAATCTTAACCCAGACAAAATCACAGACAGTTTGGATTCAATTCCCCCCTGCACCGAGGGATCACTACTTACACCTAACATTAAGCCAATAACACTTGCTTTAAGTAATGCAGATAGGGCCTTGTGCTGGCCCTCTGAATGGCAGTGAATTTCAATGGAAGTTTTGCCACTGAGTAAGGTCTGCAGATTTGATTTAATAAAAATCAAATAAAAGAAAACTCAAGGGTGTGATATGTCTGCACCCACATGGTCATAGCAGCTAGTGCATGGGCAGAGCTTTATTTATCTTCTGGAGAAAAGCAAGTGGGGATTATTTTAATTGATTGCTGCTTCAAGAATTGCTTTAAAGGGGAGAAAGTGCCTCAGGCACATCAGAATGTTAAGCCAAACAAGAAGGGAAAACATCTTAAGATAAATAAAAATGTGATTTAAATCCCTTAAGTTTTCCTTTTTGCATTACCTAGCGCTTCTTTCCTCCAGCAGCTTTGTGTTGTTCTGGCAGCACTAAGTGGCTAGAAAGCCGATAGATCCTGTCCCTTGTAAAATCCCTCCGTGTAGGAACTTCCATGGTGACTCTGATACAACTGCCTCTCACAATCCCTTGGCATAGAGTGCTACTATGCCTTGGTAATCCCCTGCTGCGTAAATGTCAGAAACCAGGCATAAATAAAGCAGCCCTGTGACTACTCTAAAGGAGGCACTGTAGTCATCATGAACAGGGAAGATTAAGAACAGGAGGTGAACAGACAGCTCACCAATACCAGATTCTACAGGCCTCTCTCCTGTGACCCCCTCTAAGGTATACCAAAAAAACATGAAAAAAACTTCTCATGAAACTCCCTGATGCTACTCAGGAACAAATTTACGCTAACACCTCCCCCCCCACCACCTCAATCCCCGACCAGGAACTTTCTATCTTCTACCCAAAATACACAAACCTGGTAATCCCGGACAACCCATCATCTCCAGAATTGGCACACTTACCACAGGATTATCTGGTTATATCGACTCCCTGCTCAGACCCTCCACTACCAACACTCCCAGCTATCTCCGCGATACCACTGACTTCCTGAGGAAACTCCAAAACATCAATAATCTTCCTGAAAATACCATCCTGGCCACCATGGGATGTAGAAGCCCTCTACACCAACATTCCACACAAAGACGGATTACAGGACATCAGGAACACCATTCTCGATAACAACGCTGCACACCTGATTACAGAGCTCTACGACTTTGTCCTCACAACTGCTTCCAATTCAGAAACAATTTATATCTCCAAATCAGCGGCACAGCCATGGGCACTCACATGGCACCACAATATGCCAACATCTTTATAGTTGACCTTGAACATTTCCTCAGCTCTTACCCCCAACACCCCTATTTTACCTATGCTATTTCGATGACATCTTCATCATATGAACCCACGGGAAAGAGACTCTTGAAGAACTCCACGAGGATTTCAATAATTTCCACGCTACTATCAACCTCAGCCTGGACCAGTCCACAAGGGAAATCCATGTCCTGGACACTACAATACAGTTAAATAATGGACAAATTTCCACCACCCTATATCGGAACCCCACCAACCACTACACTTACCTTTATGCTTCCAGCTTCCATCCCAGACACATTTTTCAGTCGATTGTATACAGCCAAGCCCTATGATACAACCAGATTTGTTCCAACCCCACAGACAGACAATCACCTACAGGATCTTTACAGAGCATTCCTAAAACTGAAATACCCACCTGGGAAGTGAAAAAAAATATTGACAGAGCCAAAAAAATACCCAGACGTGAACTACTTCAAGACAGACCCAAAAGAGAAAATAACAGAACTCCCCTCTTGTTGTAACAGAACTCCCCTACAGTCCACAACTCAGACCCCTCCTACGCATTATACGCAATCTACAACCCATTTGGAAAATGATCCCTCGCTCTCAGAGGCCTTCGGAGAGAAACCTATTCTTTCTTACAGGCAACCCCCTAACCTGAAACGTATTCTTTCTGGTAACCATGCCACACAACCACATCATAAGCCTCCAGGAACCCAGCCCTTCAACCAAAAAAAGATGCCAACTCTGCCCACATATCTACACTGGCAAATTCATCACTGGAGCAAACAACATAAGCCACAAAATCAAAGGGTCATTTGACTGCACATCCAGTAATTTGATCTATGCCATCAAATGCCAGAAATGCCCCACTGCAATATATATTGGACAAACTGGATGGTCTCTGCGGGAAAGAATCAATGGACACAAATCGGATGTACGCAAAGGGAACATACAGAAGCCTGTTGGTGAGCATTTCAGCCTGACAAACCACAGTCCGACAGACCTGCAAGTAGCTGTCTTGTCACAAACCAGCTCCACAAGCCAGATCCACAGTTCATCCGCAAATTCAATTCACATGCTAATGGACTCAATCGTGATATGGGCTGGTGGAGACTCTACCTACTTAATAACCACTGAAGGTGCTAACAGCCCCCTGAGTGGTATCCTTCCTGTCTTAGGAATCTATCTATTGACTTTGATTTTTATCTGCTTAGGTTTAAGTACCCATTCTCCAGATACTTAATGATGCTCTGTCTCCCATCCCCCTCCCTTTTCCTTTCTCTCCCTCTTCCCCTTCCCCTCTCCTATTTATTTCGAGTTTTCATATCCCTAACTCATGACTCCGGTCATCTGAAGAAGTGGGCTGTGCTCACGAAAGCTCATGATACCATCTACATGTTTCGTTAGTCTATAAGGTGCTACCAGACCATTTGTTGTTTTTTTCTGTAACAGACTAACTCGGCTACCCCCTGAAGCTCCTAATTTACACTGTGAATTGTCCTGCATCTCAGTCAGTTGTGGGATCAGGAGAGCATAAAGCCAACTTTGCTTTCCCCTAAGTCTTGCACCAAGTAATAACTGGCCAGGCCAGAAGTTATCTAGTCACAGATAAATAAATAACTCTTTTTTCTCACTATATGTAAATTGAAATGATGATTGTCCTCAGCATTGTGCTCAGTTGTTTGTAACTCTAGCTGATAATGATACAAACTCCCTCCCTTCCCCCACATTACAGTGGCAAGTACTTTTCTATCAGATCTTTATCATGTTTTTCTCTTGCAAAATACTTTTCCTCACTCTTGTGTTGGATTGTTAGTTAAACCACTTTTAGAGTAATATTATACAATTTTAATAGATTTTAAGACTGGACGGGATCATTATAATAATCCATTCTAGTTTTGTGTTGGATGCAGGCCTAGTAAATACTGATTCTGATCTACTTACATCAGTTTTTACACTAGTTTTAATTCGGGGAGTTACACTCAGGATTTACAACCGATGTGACTATGAGGAGAATCAGGACCACTGCGCTTTGCAGTATATGTATATGTGAGATGGAATTGCAGCTGTATGTCTAGTGTAGTAACTCTGCACCTCATCTCTCTTTCTCTACAGCCGAGAAACATGCTGGTGTGTCCTGTGTGACAGCGTCAGTGGATGACATACAATTTGAAGAGACTGCCAGGTAGAACTCATAGAGTAATTATCAAACCTTATCAGTTTAGAGTCCTCTTTTTCTTTTCTATTTAACAGAGATTAACCAAAGCATATAAAATCTGAGATAGTGGTTCAATGATTTCCCTCTAGTGCTTGGACTTATCTCACCCATTTGCTGGAAGGCAAAGGTCAGTTTTACAAAGTCTAAAATAAACTATAGTTACTTTTGACCCTAAACTAGAAAACAGGTCAGAAACTTAATGCCCTTTGCTCTTGAACAAAATAAATACTACTTGTTTATTCCTTTTTGAATGAAGAATACAGTTAATTATAGTTGCTGTATGAATTTTTGATAGCTGCAAACTCTCTTTCAATTTCTATAGTTCTTTTATTTTTATTGTTATCCATATGACAGAAAGATATAAAAGAGCAATTTTGTATTTGCAAATTGTATGTTTAGTGCATCCACACGATAGTGCAGGAAGTAAAAAAAAATCTTTCACTTTTGCTTTAACTATTTCTCAGCCAGGGAACTAAGGCCAAGACTACCATGTGGAAAAAATTAATGTAAGATACACAATTCCACCTATGACAATTGTGTAGCTGGAGTCAAGAAACTGTTTGCTGTTCATATTAGCAAGGGGGGGACATCCTGACCCAGTGCTACGGAATCAGCTTTCTAAGTGTGTTTTTTTAAGGCATTGTTCTTGTTTAGATTCACTTCCATATAAAAAAAAATATAGACAGAAAATTTTCTACTGCATTATAAGAGTCTGACCCACTGCATTACTAGTGAACTGAGCCTGGATAAAACTGCAGAAATGTACTTTTGGATGTAGCTAGGTTAAAAAAACGGTTAACCCTTGTAAACGTAGCATTTTGTAAGTGCTGACCTATGTTACTGAATGTTTACAAGGCCAGCTATATGAAATGGGCCCCATTTTCAGAACTGATGACTGTCGCTCGTATTTGAGTATGATTGTAGCTAGAAATCAGTTTCCATAGGTAGGGTTTAGGACAGGGCTACTCAACAAATGGCCCATGGGTGGGATCCTTTGAACATGGCTTCCACCGGGAACATGCACAATAGTGAGGTGTCTCCCAGGCAGGGTGAGCACTGAAAGATGCAAGCAGATGGGCTGGATGGAACAGACTGGTACAGGGTGTCGTCATTTCTAGCTCCCAGGGAAGAGGAGCCAAGAGCGCCAGGGCATTGTGGGAGGTGCTTTGTATTCATGCCCATCAGTGTGAAAGAAGCTATTTGCATATATTTGCATTAGGGCTGTCAAGCAATTAAAAAAATTAATTGTAATTAATCGTGTGCACTGCCACTTTGAAACGTTGTGGCGGCGTTTCCAAGGGGCAGCACCGTGGGAGCCCGGGATCAGCTGGAATCCTCAGCTGACCCCAGGCTCAGTGCAGGTGCCCTGTGGAAAGGTCACCCCAGCATTTCCATAGGGCAGCACCGCGGGAGCCCAGGGTCAGCTGGAGCTTCAAAGGGGCAGCTCTTCAAAGGGGCAGTGCAAGGCAGAGCCTGGGATCAGCTGGGCACTTCAGACTCCTAATTTGCATAAATATTTGCATGTATATGCAACTACGCTTAAGTTGCAGCCCTTGGCATGTGCTGTGAGTATCATTGTGGCCCCCAGAGCTTCCAAAGTTGAGTAGCTGTGGTTTAGGATATACCAGGCTAAGGCCAAGTTGGTGCCTACGTTTCCTCTCACTGTCAGCCCAGGTGGCACGATGATATTGTGTTATTCATTCTGTTTCCTTTGCAGAGGAGTGCCTAGCTCGCCTGTCATGAACCATATCCTCCCTTGTCATTTATCCCTGCCCTGCAGACTGTATGTACCACTTGATGCAGTCTTTGTAGCACAGTTTGCAATTATCACAATTGCACATACAGCTGAGTAATTGCCAGTAAGGTTGCAGAAGTAATGTAATTGCAGTAACTATTGGCAACTGTGCATTCAGAATAAGCATACATTTGTGCCCGCATAGTGTTACATATCTAGCCTTCTAAACCTACATTCACCTACGGACAGGCGGAAGATTGGTATGAATTATGCATGACCATGGCAACATAGGAGAGACCTGAGAGGTTGTTGATTTCTCACACAAAGCCTTTCTCAAGAGTCAACTTCTCAACTACAGACTCCTCCGTTTTGCTTTCTAATGAAAAGCACTTCTCTGGAAAGCTGTGATCAAAAAGTTCTATTAATGAACTAAGTGTCAAATTTTTCCCTTGGGTACAAAGATGCCACCCTCATGGTCTTCAATGGCATTTTCTCTCTTGTAACTGAGAGCAGAATTAGACCTTAAATATTTTAACTGTGTTTCAGCCATAGATTAGCTTTAACATCCTAAGTGGAATAGTGCTTACCCTGTGATGTGCTGAACATGCATAATTAAGAAGATTTAATTAAGGTTCTCATATAATTAATAACTAGCTCTGTTAACCTTGAGTGTAGTGTATATATAAAAAAGGACATTTTATGGGTTTCCAGGTTTAATATTTCATACACTTACAATAGCTTACCAAATCTTTTGGAAAGAGGCATCACTACTTCTTTTCAGTTGACTTTGAAACTGAAATTTCCACAACTTGAACTGTACATTAGGAAAGTTAGTTTTATGCCAAGACAAAGAACAACTTCCTGCTCCTGGTCTTTTTACACTTTCTGAGTTCTTAGTAATAGCATGAGCACTGTCTGGTTTAAAATAATCTGATTGAAACTTATTGCTTTTATTCACCATGTATCACCACCAAAATCTCTCAGTCTGGTACATCTCAAAAGGTTCCCATCAATGAAAATGCAATGTTCTATGATCAACATTCTTAAATATCCATTCAAATGGCCAGGGACAGCCTATGGAGAGGCAGCTACTTGGCATCCCATTGTTTGAGAGTCCCTCTGTCTGAGGCAAACTTTGTAACTCATGTATCCCATTCTGACAGTGGAACCAGAGACAGAGGCAATTCATTTCTTCTTTCCCCACTTTTCCAACCACCTTTCATATTGCAAAGTCTGCCTTACAAACAACCCACAAAATTATGTTGCTTGAAATGATGTTGCTAGAAATACAATTGTTCAGGTGGGAAATTAGAAGACTCCACCTGCACAGCATATTTAAGCAATAAATATAATGAGGATGATTTCAGTGCTTCTAAAAATGTCTTTGAATTAGCCTGGGACATCATTTTAGAAATTGGACTCTTTCCATATCGGGAAAGGGAAGGGCGACCAAGAGTTTATATTTGCTTTCCATACAGAGAGTGTTTCCTCCATTTTTTGCAAATGAAGCATTTGGCTCTTTCTGGAGTCCCAAAAGAGCCTCAGTCTAGAATATACAAGATCAGTTTGAAATTATTTTTATAATAGAGACAAGTTTCACTCTAGGGCAAAAATAGAGTTACTGTTTAGAAACAGCGATTTCCTGGATATAGCATTTTGTTATGGTCTCTTAAGCAAAAGCTTTTCAGACATTAAAGATAAACTGTCAAAATAAAAATAATATTTTTTAAAAAGTCTCCTTATATGTATTATAAATAACAGACCAAATTATTTAAGATTGTTGTGAACGCTCATAATATTTCACTTATTGTAGGGGTACTCATGAATTTCTGATTTTTTTCTTTAATCATGTGAAGTTTTGCCCTTATCCAAAATGGCTGTCATCTCTCATCACTGTCAGTAGTAGTAAAGAAACAGACTCCCCTTAGCAAGATGGCTATTGTCTTCCTGTAACCTTTGCAGATTGAAGTGATACTGTCCGTAACAAAGATTGCCACCTTCTTCATTGTTTCTAGAGCTGGTTTAGATTTTTTCATCAAAATGATTATCTAAAAGACTAGAAGTGAGATTATTAATTAAAGAAGAGCCTTAGTTTAACCTAAATAATTTTACCCTTTTTACCATTTTCCCCTAGCTTAATTTTAATAAACGCACCTGGTCATCTTCATATTTGATTTACTAAAGCTACAGTGGGATACTAAACCCACTGTATCCGGTTTATGCACCATTGCATACACTGGGCTGGATCCTCATCTGATATAAATTAACATAGCTCCATGGAAATCAATGGAACTATGCCAGCTTACATCAACTGAAGAGGTAACCCATAACATGCAGCACATACCTTCTCCACTCTCCTGCTCAATGAGGATGAAATTAATCTCTAGTGCAGGTGCCAGCACAAGACAGTCCATTTAAGCCCTACAGTGTGGTTTTATGGGTAGTCCAAGGGCATCCCCAACCTCTAAGAGGTATTTAGGGTGTCTCCAGGGGAAAGGGCCATAGTTTATAGGACCCAAATTAATGTTGATCCAGTGGTCCAGAAAGTTCACACAAGCAAAGTGAAGAAACAGTATTTGCTACTCAAGATTCTCTGTTGGAATATCAGCCATAGAAGAGGCATTGCCCTCCCCTCCCCCCCCCCCAATTTGGCAACTGCACTCCAAGGGCATCACAGAATTGAGCCTGCTTTGGGTTTGTGGGAAAGAAGGTGAATTCTGCCCTATCAGCCTAGACATAGCTTAAGAAATGAGTTACCGCTACCTGTTTGTGCAATTGTGCATTTGTGTACACTGACTGATTTAACAAACCTCACCAGGGTATGTGTCAGTGTACCTAAATCTGCAATCCAATCCACAATTTCTGACTGGACTTGAGATTGGTATATAATGGCATAACAGTAGTACATATAAGTATATCTCCAATATATAGGTACTCTCTCATTCATTCTATACAATTTTTTTAATAACTCCAATTCAGTTCAGCAGCTTCTTTATTGAAGTTACCGGTAAAGTTTGATTTGAGAAGAACTTCTACAATTAACTACTTGTTCTTGTTGCACATAATTTACTAGTCTTGTGCATTATCAGCAGAATATTCATTAACATGAAATATTGCTTACTGTTGGTGGTATTCCATTATGTAACACAGAATGACACTGACATGCAAAATGTTTATAGAGCTTGATCTTCATTGAAGCCCATTGACTTCAGTGAGCTTTGGATCATAGTGCAGTTTACGTAATAATTGTGCAACTTAATGAGGTAACATTTGTCTTAACAGAGTTGGACAAATTATCATCATCAAAGCAAAGGTAAACCGAGCATTTAATACCAGCATGGAAGTAAGTGATATTAATTTCTCATTTTTATAATTATTTCTTTAACAAATTTCAGTACAGAAAGGCAGGAAGAGAAAGATAATGGATAAGATTCTAGCACTGTAACTTTACTATTGTTAATTTCAGAAGGGGCTTAGTTAATTAAACAACTCCCCCTAACTGATTGTTACAAATCATTGTTGTTGTCTGATGGGTGAGCTATGTCAGACTAATATAAGGTTCCCAGAAGCGGTTAGGGTCTAAGGTCATTAACAAGTGTAATGCAAAATCAAATATAAAGTGGGTCGATAGTCAGTACTGGCCCATTCCAAAGCCCACTGACCTCAATATAAGCTTTGGATCAAGGCCCATATCTAGGAAGCCTCACAGAATAGGTATATGTCTTAATGTTTTTGAAATACATGATACAAAGAGCCTTATCTGAGATGTGTCAATGCCACTTATTACTTATGTTGCAACAGACATGGTAATACATTGCTCAGTCACTTATCTGAATTCAGAACTGAATCTCAAGCGTTTTTTTTTCCCCCTTTGTGGGCCCCTGAACAATTTCCATTAGCTTTAATGGGAGTGATGTGACGGCATCTATGGGAGAGTGTATTCCAACATGTTCTAAAAGTTCCAAAGACCAAAGGCTTGGTGCATGTCATGTCTGTTTTAGATGAACTATTAAAGTATATCACATTTCACATTTGTTTTATAGACTAATAGTACAGATTTTTGCTGATGCAAGTCTTGCTGCTTCTAAAGATCCAAGCAGGGAACCAAAATGGGACATAAGTGAATGAGAGTAATGGTTTTAAAAGCCAAATATAAATGTCTGTACTATTTTTAGAGGTACTGCTAAATCTCCATGGGTTTTAAATATTCATGAAGTGCATTGGTGATAGCAGCCCATTAGTGAAAAGTTGGTGATTCTTCTCTTTTCAGATGTAAGCTCAAGACAACAATTAATTCTACAAGTGTTGGGACTTGATATCTTTTCTGGAAATTACAATGTGGTAACTTTTTTTTTCTTTTTAGGTGGGTGTCAAGGTTACAGTACAGGATACCTTGACTGGAATTCAGAAACTTATTAGTATGGCTTTCTCTACATATGTAGTAAGACCAGTTGGGGATGAAAAGGTATCTCATTTAACTCAGAAAAATCCTGACAGAAATATATTTCTGTAAAATGTTTCTTATTTGATTATTACAAAATGGACTAAAAAAGCTATTATCCACTTATTTCACCTGATGGCAGAAAAATAATGTGAAGTCTAAACTGTGAGAAGATTATAAAGACCTTCTCTATGTGACCCCGTGATGGGCTATTTTTCTGTCACTTTATAAGTCTTTTATTTTTGTAAATTCTTCCTTACTAGAATTGGCATCTTTATCCCAACTTGACTGATAAAGTTGGTAAAACCAATATTTCCAAACATAAAATGAAACCTTCCTGGGCAAGTTTAGAGGCTAAATTAATTGGTCAGTGTTTGAACATTAATGTGCTATATAAATGTTCTGTATTATTGCTTATGATTGGGCTGGCCCTGTGCCCAGCCCCTGAGCTCATGCGTCTTTAGCTCAACATTCCAAAAGGGTCATGTCAGGATGAAACTGGGGATGATTAACTAAGATCAGCTTCACTAGGCAGCCATTCAAGCAGGAGAATTTGAGGCCTCAGTTCAAAATCCATCAGTATTTCAGCTTTTGGAGCAAACAACTACCGAGTTTTTACCTTTTCAAGAGCAAGTTATTTATTAGATTATTGTTGTTGTTGATTTGTAGACAAGTTGGAAAGAAGGAAATTTCCTAGGGGTACTGTGTTTCTCGTTCCCAAAAAGAAGACACTGCTGGAAAGGGAGATTGGGAGGAAATACAATAAGGGATGCTGGAGGGGGTGTATATGTAATGGGGATATTTGAGAGATGCTGGAGGTGGTACCTGGGGGCGTTGGGTATTGTAGGAGGAACCTTTGTACTCACTCTTGAGGTAGGGGGCAATGTCACTGCTGGGTCGCTGAGACCCAGCACACAGTGAGAGCCATCAATCAGTACCTCCCTGAAGGGGTTTTCCTCTCCCTAGGGCTGTGAGTGTGGGATTCAGCAGCTGTGAGGGACCAGTCAGATGCCAATGCAGGGGAAGGACCTACTGGGGTTCTTTCTAAGCTGCAACATCTGTCCCACGTAAAGCCTGGACATTGCCTCTTATTTGAAAATTCTGCTCAGACAGAAGGTGGAGGATCAAAAAATAGGCAATATGCAGGAAATATTGGCTGTCTGGTGACCCTTTGACTGCCTAACTCTGCTACGGGGAGGGCAGGTTTGTTTTAAGAAGACACTGGCAAGATTCTGAGCAGGGATGGAAATGGAGGAAGGGAGCTGGTTTGAGAAAAGAAACAAAGGCAGTGAAGTGTTAGCATGGATTGGTGATACAAACATCCCTGCAGGAGAAGGAGGCAGAGTTGTTTCCAAAGGGTGAGGACAAGGCTCAGAGAGAACATGAAGTGGGGAAAATTGGTGTAGCCCGTGCCTTGCTGAAAGTGGATCCAGTGGAGATGTGGTTTTGGTCGTATGTAGCTGCTGGTGGCTAGAGCAACCCCAGTTTCCCTAACAAAGACTTTACATCTAATCCTCTACATCAACAAGAGGATTTAGGCAGAGCTACAGTGGAGAACCACTGTCATCCTCAGAGAACAGCAAGGAGATGACTTTGTTCTTGTTGACGCTTCTGGGCCTAGGTGGAAGGGACCAGAGAATAGATTTAGATACAGAGAGCAGCTGTTCCTTGCAACTCAGCTGTTTTTTCCTGTCCCTGTTTAGGTAACATTGTTCAAAAGCCAATGGGCTAGATTTTCAAACAGTCTGTGCCACTAACCTGGCCAATTCTAGCCATAGTATCAGGCATAAATAGAATTTGCACCTGCACTCTGCAAAAAAAGGGCAATATGCTTGGGAGCAGAAAGGCTTCACCTGCTGAAGGAGTGTTGGGAAAATGGCCTGTAAAAGTGTGCTGCTAAAGGCATTTTCAAAGGAGCATATTCGAGCGCAAGTAGTGGTCAGAGTGCAAATGTGCTTCCGGGACACAGCACACAGTATTAAAATCCTCAAGCTTATCTGAAAATGTGTTTCCAGTTTTACTTCTGGTGAAGCATTTTAAACAAAACGAGTTTTGGTGAGTTTCTTGTTTTTTTAGTTTTTCAAAACAAAACTACCTTGTCATTGAATTTTGGCAAATGGCTCAGAACTAAAAGTGAAAACCCTGATATTACTTAATCATTTGAACTTTAACTCTTTCTTATCTGTATCACTAACCCTTACTTGCTGTACATCAGAAATTACAGTAAAGAATTCTAGAGAATTAAATGGCATTGGCTCAAAGTGCAGTCCAGAGCACACTTAGATATGATTATACAATCACAAGAGCTTCTTTTCATTTGTGTAGGTGAACTTAAAACCAGTAAAACTTCAGTCTCCAGAAGATCATCTGGAGCATAGTCTGGCTACTGAGAGAAGAAGAATACGACTGGACCATGAACATGTCTTTGAGACCCTAATGCAAGATAGTAGTATGGAAGCTGGTCATTGTGGTCAGTAAATCAGACACAAGCAGTTATTATGAGCAGACAGAGGGTAGCTAAAAGAGGCCAATTCAGACTGGGCAAAACCATACAAAAACCTTGGGGAAAAGACTCCAGGTATTAGTAAGGGACATTCTAGGTTTGTAAAGGTGTGGAGGACAACAACTCTCTGACGTGGTTCTTTCTGTCCTTCTGACCTGTATGGATTCCAACTGTAAGTTTGTGGGATCAGGGCCCAAGCGTGAGTTGATCATGGTTTTACATTTACTTAGGGTTTGCCTACTTGGGGGTTTTAAACTGGATCAAACTGAGTTAATCTGGTTTTAAACCTTGCATAGAAACAATGCAGCCCATTACCGTGAATTAAGTCTGCATTTATTGGGAACTGTGAAGTCCTCTTGCAAAGTACATTAGGTATTCTTCAAACTGAATTTGTTTGATCTTTTGTTCATATGCACACAATTGCTGGGCTCCGCTTTTTTATTCTTTCAGTGGCCCTCCCACAGTGCTTTGCCCTGTTGACTGTTACTGGCCTGTCTTCTTATCTGTGTGACCTCACTGCCCTATTGTCCACAAGTTTCAAGGATGATGCTTTCTCCCGTTTAAAGCTGGCACAGAACCAGTTTTTGCCCCTTTGCTCACCAATCCAGTGTGTCATTATTCTGGCAATACAGTCACATGGCACCGTATGGCGCTGCACACGGCACCCTCAGTATGCCTCACCCTGCTTCATGGAGCTGGTCAGGATCCTGGATCTCATAACCACCTGGGAAGAAGTGTCAGCACAGGAAGTTCTTGTGGCACAGAAGATGTTCTAGAGAGGTCATGCATGGGATGCTGACCAATGCCAGATAAAGAACAAGCAGCTGGGAAAAAGTAGATTGAAATGCGGGGAAAGAGAAGACAATGCATGTGATCTGACCATTTTTGATGAATTGGATGAGATTCTATACAGTTATCGTACTATCAGCCAAGGTGCTGCCCACATTCTTCTCCCCACCAAGGAAGATGGGTCTGACCCATTGGAGGATGTGCAGGAAGATGCCACCTGAGAGCGAGGATTTTTTTGTGCCTCAGGGATCTGATGACCACCTGGAAAGGGAGCCCCAGTCCTGCCCTCCATTGGCTAAGACTGAGTCCCATCTAGAAACCCAGGCTGAAGAGTTGGAGTCCCTGGAGGGAACAACAGCCTGTAAGTAGTTATCTTTGCAGGGTATTATTTATTGTTATTGTTGGCTGATGTGAGCTAAATCCCTCCTCTTCCCCTCCGCCTTCCTCTCACCCTTTTTGTTCTGTTTGAAAATGGCTCACACCAGCATGGTTCAGTCACAGCCTATACTATCTCTTGAGGCTTCCCTCAGCGACAGAGTCAAACACTGAAAGCATTCCTGTGTGCAAAATTCAACAGTTTATGGCGACAGTATTTACAGGAAAAGACATTTGGTTAGTTTTTGTAGTTTTCATGCACACTGCATGCCTGGTCAAAACACAACAAATACTATTCTTTGCTGAGGTGCAAATGCTCTGTGACATGAATTCTAGCTGACAAGCATAGCAGGACTCAATCTGTTTTTTTCTACGCTTTTTCTGTGCCTTCAGAGGAGACATAGCAGAACTGTGAACACATTGTAGGGAATAGCTGTGCCCCCATCTCCTCCAATGTCATTAGCTTCCTGCAGCATTTCTGGGGGGACCACTCTGGTGAGTAACTCCATAGGGTATCTTACAGATCTGCACTGTGCCTTTCTGTATAAGACCAATCTGTCTCCTAGACACCTGCCTCAGTGTAACATTATCAAGAATTGGGACATCCTAAAAGGCATATGGAGGAAATTACTATCAAGATTATTCCCCCATCCTCCCCCATGAACCTCCCTTTAAACTTTTAATGTCACAGAGGTGCATCCAGGGCACAAAACAAAACTGAAAAAACAAACCTGGAACAAAACACCCCACCCCATCCCTAACAGCATGAAAGCCAATATCGTAGAATGAAATCCATATTCATTCAGCACTCTCCATATATTCACACCACTTACCATCTTGGAGGTTCCCCCCAAAATGGGAAGAGTCTCAGGGGGAAATAAAGTCTCATATACCTACAAAGAAAAAGCTTCCATGACTTGTCTGTTACATGAACAATAAACAACTTGTTTTTTTCCCCCTGCTCCCACAACCACAGCACTTGCAACTGCCAGACCATCAAGAACAGGGCCTCTGTGTACTACGGACAGGCTGCTCAACCTGAAGGAGAGAAAAGGAAAGACGTGGGACAGAATGGCAGACTCACAGGGAAAACCAGGCTGACTAAAAGGTAGAGGCTGTACATGAAGAGCCAGAGGGAAAAAGAAATGCAGCTTTCCCAGAAGATCATGGCAATGGCCAAGGACAGTGTTGCAGTGGCCAGGAAAAGTGTGACTGTATCCTTGTGTACTCTACCACACCATAGACTAACATGTAGGCTTGTGACTCAAAATACAAAATGACAACATTCCCCTAGGTGTGTGTGCTCTCTGTGGGACACCTTGCTGGCTGCTCACCCCTCTGAGCAAGTCTCCAACCCTCAGCCTCTCCCACCCATCATTAAGGCGTTTCCCTTCGCTCTCAGAAATATTGTGCAAAACACATGATGTTGCTATGAATGGTTGGAACATTTTTTTCCCTGCTCTTTTCAACCTATTCCATAAACAACACTATCTGCTTTTCAAAAGCAGACGTGGCCACCATTCTACATGGTGCTTCAATAACTCTTTTTGTTATGAATTCTGTGCCCTGGTGGCAGAGGCAAATGATAGGCATTTGGGTTCCATCAGCTTGGGAATCCCATGTGTGCAAAGCCCTCCCCATCTTGAAGGTCTCTTACTAGTGCTGATCATCTCAGCTCTGCAGAATAATCCTCTCCCATCAAGTCACACTGGTTTCCTGGGTCCTGAATAGCACTCAAGTCTATGTAGGTGATCTAGAAACTGGTTGTCATCTTTCAACAGCTTGGCATCTTCCTAGTCTTCTGCCTCATCCTGCTGTCTTCACTGTAGATTATCCTGCTGCTGCACTAGAATATTCTCCTGCTCCCACATCATCTGCTTGGTGGTGCAACTGGTAAAGTCCAATGCAGAGGTTATCTGGCTCTGAGTGCTATAATACAGCCCAAGCAGCTTTTGCATATTCATGCCTGCCACCATGGTGGCTCAGAGTGTTGGTGTGTCTAAACTGGCTGACAACAGTTTTAAAACAGTGTATGACAATTGGGCAGAAACAAAGACATGGGATTAAAAAAAGTGAACCCACCTGGCTTCCCACAATTCACAGTCAAAACAATGCCAGGATTCAGTCTATTCTGCAACAAAGCAAAGGTCCATGGACTATCCCCAGCGAATGCTGTGTCCTCAGTTCACAGCAAGGTGCTGCAATGTGTAGCACTGAAGTATAACTGAGGTATAATTGAAGTAACATTCTTCATCTAGATTTACCTTTATCTCCCAGACTTATCTCTGTCCTGAAGTCACATGAATCAAAATTGCTGTATTTCTTTTCAATACCATGAAATTATCCCCTAATATTTAAGAAACTGTCTGGTATTTACAATTTGAAATACACATCTGCTTATGAACTGCAGTCACAAATAAATTATCTACAGGGAAAAACAACATCTATAGTAAATATAATACTTAGCTTTTACAATTTAATTGTGTTGTGTACAATTGGGATGGATACATTACATTACCATGGTGATTGATAGCTTTCTGGTAGGAAAACTCAAGACCACTAAAGAGCAATCAGAGAGTAGTGATGTTTAATCTCTATGATCCTAGCTGCACTAGGGAAATTTAGTAAATATTTTTTTTATAATTGCTCACACCAATTCAACATCAACAGGGCCATACAAAAAGTCAAGCAAGGTCAAAAATGAGATTAGTGTATATGAAGATTGCTAGCTTCCAAATATAGACAAAATACATCAAGTAAAAAAATGAAATTTGCCTTGTGAATGCAAGTTATACAACACGTAAAGAAGGTCCAAAGTGCAAGGTACTGAGATATCCTGTTTGATGATTGTAAAACACAGCTTACTAGGGCAGAAGCTAAAGACATAATTCAGGTCATATGAAATCCTGTGGTACAGGTGTTGCATGTTTGACATAGCTGAGACTTAAAACTATTACATCAAGGTGCATCTGAAAAAAAACAAAGACTGGTTTAAAAAAAAATCAGAACACTTCACAGTCAAGGTACTGAATGCATATGTAACTTTAAGCAGTGATTTCAGTAAGACACCTCAGATCCTAAAAGTCATGTGTATGCTCGACTAGCTTGCTGATTTGAGACCTAAAAGAGTGTGACCTTTAAATCCTCATCCACAAGACATTGGGGGCCAAATACATCCTTGATGTAACTTTACTGGGTTACACCAGAGTTCAGTTTATCCCTAGATTCTTATCTAGAACTTGTATAATATACATATTTATGTGTATGTTTACATACTTCTATTGAACATGTACATGGGTACGTTCACTGAAATAGTTTCAGTAAGAGACTGTTAAGATTGTATGGTTAAACACTTGAAAGATGAATTGGCAAAGCTAATGTTGTATACACAACCCTAACTCTGCCCCCAGTGCCTGGCTATAATATGGTATCTAATGAACACACACTGTTTTGCAAGCAATACCGTACAGTATGATACAGTGATTTTCTACACCCGTAAATCCACATGTATAGCAATTTTAGTACTGCAAGACATTTATATCAAAAGCAGATAATAAGCTGTACTTACTTTATATAAAACACTGCAGATTAAATATAGCAAACCAGAGTAATAATAAAAATTTACTGGCATACATAGGTTGCCTACATTTTCAATTAGGAGAGCTGCATAGCTGCCTAATTGCTAGGATGTGTGCTTTTAACACAGCATTTGTATGTATAACATAGCACATCCCTCCCAGAAGAATTTGCTCTGTCATTAGGGTGCTCTGTATCTCTCCATTCTGCTCCCTCTCAGACAAGAGGGCACAGTGCACCCTTGCATCTTGATAGAGCTTCAGGCTGTTGCTATGATTGGTAGTAGCAGAAGCCTTTTGCCTCCAGGCAATCCCTGGGGTAGGTTTCTGTCTCCCTATGGTCATTTTTTTTTAATTGTACCAAGAGCAGATAGATCCTTACAATGATGAGGGAAAGGGTATATTTCCCTGTTGGGACAGCTACTAACTCTACTCGTTTAACAATCCCATTAATAAACTGTTACCATGTTTCAGATAATGGAAGGGATACAGAGGAAGATACTATTTCAACTGATCTAACCCATGTGCAGAGCATTGAACTTGTCCTGCCACCTCATGCAAACCATCATGGAAATACATTTGGTGGTCAGATAATGGCTTGGATGGAGACAGTAGCTACTATTTCAGCAAGGTACTTTTCCGTTTGGTGCCTTCCTGTGTGATTCTGAAAAGACATGCTGGGTGGAAAATCAAAAGAACCCCAAATGCACCATTTTAATGTTTGAGAAACAGGGGCTAGTTACAAATTAGTAGTGAAAATGAAATATATTGTGGTCTCTCTTCTTAGTGAGGTGCAGGGGATGTCTACATATTTATATGAAGGCTTTTCTATGGCACTCAATTCCAGAGCATCTGAGTGCTTTACAACACTACTGAGGAATTATCACTACTGTATATCGTTTTTACAGATGGAGAACTGAGCTGAGGGACAGAAAGATTTTAAGGCTACAAAGCAAGTCATTAGCAGAGATAGAAATAGAACCCAGCTCCTGATGGCTAGAGCAGTGCCTTGACCACAAGAATATACTTCCATACATGCTAACATCCTCTGGCCCAGTATCAATAAAATCCTAAAATGGAGAGGCTGATCAAAGACCATCTGCAGCCCTCCATGCTTAGCAGAAATGAACTTGAGTATGGCCAGTGGGTCTGAAAAACATGAGAGCCACTACAAGGAGGTGTGGGTGGGCCCTGGCATGGGAGTCAGTAGAACTGAGTTCTATTCTAGCCCTTGACCCACTATATTATCTTGGGAAAGTCACTTAACTTCTCTGTTCCCAGTTCCCACATCTGTAAAATGGGAGCCATCATGCTTGCCTGCCATCTCTTGTGAAGTGCTTTGAGATCTACAGATGAAAAGTGCAAAGTTTTATTGCTAACCCTGAAGGTTCATTAGTGGCTCTGGCCCAACTGCACAGCAGTTCTTGCCTTCTGCCTGTAGGCTGGAGGGTCCCATTACCTCAGTCTTGACACAAACAAACTTCTTTGTGTGTGAAACCTGAATTTCTATCAGAATTCCCCTCACACACGACTTGACCTACTTCACTGCAGGGATGCTTGCTACATGTTCATTTTTTACTTTAATAATTAAATGCCATTCCTTTTCATTATTTATGTAATTTTGATTCTTAGCCAGTTAGTTGTACCGATAAGAGATTCTCTATAGTTCTTAGATAAACAGCTCATTTTATTAAAATTAGAAAACCCGCTGTGCAACTCCATTGACTTCAAAGGAATTACTCATCATTTATGCCAGTTGCACCGGAGATCCAAGCCAAAATATCAGGCCCTGCTTCCCTTTGATATATCAGTACACAACAAACCCGAAAGTTAACATAGTTTATTTGGAATGATGAATATCGAACATAATTTATCAGGTTGAAACTTTTAGCAATAATAGCCCATGGCGGAGACAATATTGGATGGAAACAGAGAGCTTGTATTTTGTGCTTGAGAAATAGCTGGCCTCGCTACAAATCTTTTGTAAGGCAACAATTAGCTCTGACCTTTCAGGGTACCAGTTAGAGTTGCTATGGCCACAGGCTGAGATGGGAGGAGCAATAGTTGAAGAATACATTTTAAAGACCCATAGAAAGGTTTTTCAAAAGGTTATTTCCTCTTTCTAAAAACTGGGAAAGTAATTAAAGGCAGTCCTGCAGTAATTGAAAGTCATTTTGAACCAGGACTGTCCTTTCTGATATGTTATACTACCAATAGAAGTATTCAGGGCTTAGTTCTCTAAAAAATGTATCTTAATATTTAGGAAAAAAATTAAAATCATATACTTTCATCCTCTTTGTATTTTTGCTAATGTTGTATCTTTACCATGAGTGTTGTAAATGAAATACCCATTTAGCATTTTAAATAGGAAGAGGAAATTATGTTTAATGAAATTACAAAGTCATTTGAATGTATTAGTCTATTATAAAGATGCTCTATTCAATTAATTAGCAACAGATAATTGTGTGCATTTAACTCTACTGGTACATTAGTTTACGGATAATGCAATTGAGTTAAGAGCTGCAACTGCTATAAAACTACATCATTTCTCAGCTAAAATGTGTAAAATGAAATTTTGTTATCATATATGTATGCTTTTATCACTGAATTTGATGGGGAGTTTCATACATGTGCATGAGGACAGAAAGTGGCCTTTTAGAGTCAGGAAATAAATTTCATTGTTATTTATTTGGCTGTGTGACAGGTATTAAGGGTGCAACCATCCTTTTCCGCCCAGAAGGGGGGTTCAGCGGACCCATCGCCTACCGTAAGCTCAGTTTTTGGGTCCCTGCCCCTTGGGACAGGTCCCGTGGGTGCGATCTCCCTCTCCCGCGTCGGGAGGAGGGGTTCAACGAACCCATGAGTTCCCCTGGGGAAGGGGTGGAGTAGGATCCCCAGCTCTGAAGTCTAGCCCGTCTCCAGGCGGGGTTCTGAACACGAATATGGAGTCTGGGTTGGGGTTCTGGCTTATACTGGTGGGCTGCGAATCCTGGGGATAGGAGTAGGTGGGGGAAGGGGGACCCAGGCCTGCCCTCTCCTCCGGGTCCCAGCCCGGGGCCCTAAGTGCAGGGTGCGGCGCTCCCTATGCACGGCGGACGGGGGTAATTCCTGAAACCCATCTGCCCATGGGCACCAGAGGCGCACCGCCTCGGGCTGCTTCCTTCCCCCCTCCCGGGTACTTGGTCCCGTGGAACCGTCGCAAGGCCTCACCCCCACTTGGTCCATCTCTGGTCCTCCTGGGCGATCCGGTGGCCCGAGGGTCTCATGCTGTTTCCTCCAGCATGGGGGCAGATCCTCCCTGTTTTCTCCAGGACAGGGCCGCTGCCTCCGAGCGTGCCCCCTTTGCCTCTGGCTCTGCCGCTTTTCAAGTGGACCGGGGACAGATGTCGTGTGACGGGGCCCCGCCCCCTTGGCGTGGTCCCGTGTTGGGAAGTCAGGCAGCGCGATGGAGGCCCCTGCGTCTCCCGGTGTCTGCCGGCTTGTACACCCTGCCAGCCTGACGCCAGGGAACGCCGGCGTGGCTTGGCCCAGTCTCCCGGGTGACAGGACCGCGCCACTTCCCTGCTCGTCTCGGCCCCGCCGCGGCGGAAGCCGGGGCTGTTCCGGCTGGCCGCAGTGCCGGCTTGCCTTTCCCGCCACGGTGTGGGGGTGGAGTCTCCCCCCCAGCAGTGCAAATCCTCATGGGTCCATCACAGGCTATAGCACCTAGATTGGGGCTCAGAGCTGTGGAAAACAATAGAAAAGTTCCTCCCACCCACAAGAATGTACAAATATAAAAGTCACAATCCTGAAGCTACTTAATCACAAGTGCAATTCCAAGTAACCCAGTGATGCCCATGGACAACTCAGGTGACCAAAGTAATGCATGTGATTAAGTGTTTTCAGGATCAGGGCCTAAATTGAGAAAAGAGGGACTAGTGAGTGTAGTAAACAACAGAAACATATGGGAAATGGAAGGATGATGTACACAACAATAATAATGCAATTTATATTACATGAGAATAACTTTAACCCTTGATTTTTAAAGGTTATGCATGCCACTTTGTGCTTCTGCATGGGCAAATGGCCAGTTGCATTCCCGGCTTTTTGCATGTTTACAAACCCAGCTTCCAGATTCAGCTTCATTAGTTGCTTGCAACTTTTAATAAAGACATATCTCCTTAGTGTCATTACAAGTAATTCAGGCTGTATTTGCATGAGTTTTTTTTAGTCCTGAGAAAGTGTCACTAACTCAAATAGGCCAAAAAGTGAACTCTTTTCTCACACTGAACAATATCTTACTCACCAAGTAGCCCTGTTGAAATGTGTGGGGCTTGTGGGTCAGTAATGTAGGCAAGGGAAGGCACAGCCTTTCCAAAACTGCCTACTCAGCCAACCATCTAAGGCTGGGACTGTCGCTGGGGACAGCTGCGGGGGAGGGAAGGGGCCGTGGCACGGCAGGGGAGGGATGGGACCACAGCACGGCAGCCTGGCTCCTCTGGCCACTGGGGAGGGATGAGGCTGTGGTGCGGAGCACAGCTCAGCAGCCTAACTTCCCCAGCCACCAAGGAAGGCTGGCCCGGACCTTAGCAGGGCAGGCCCAGCTCTCCATGTGGCCAGGATGGGGCTGAAGGTGGGCACAGTTTGGCTCCAGGGGCTGGGCATTAGGTGGAAGGGGTGAGGGTGGGGCTTGCCTTCCCCAGCTGGGCTTTCACCTACCGCCCATGGTGGGGCTCTTTGAGAAATAAGATACTACTGCATGAGAGCAAGGAGTTCATAAACTGGCCCAATGTGACATATATAACAAGTAGTGAACATTCAGTAGTTAATGATTGTAAAGTGCATTGCAAATGAAGCAACACAATAGAAGTGGTATTATTTTGTGAGACCCAAATGTGTGTTGCCATAGAGCTGAATATGCTATCCTTTATGGGAAGTCTAGGTATTAACTTCGGGTTTATGAATTTCTAACTTGTGGGGACCTCTTTACTGTAAGTATGTCAAATAATCTTGGGCTGTACAGATATAGAAAAATAAATGACAAGGCCATATAATCTGCTTTTTGTCTCTCCTGCTTTCTCATTCAGTCGCCTCTGTCATTCAAATCCCACCCTGAAGTCAGTTGATATGTTTAAATTCCGGGGACCGTCTACTGTTGGTGATCGCCTTGTCTTCAAAGCAATAGTTAACAACACATTTCAGAAAAGGTAAAACTATCTATGTGCACGTCTCACTGCCCCTCTTAGCACAAGCCCTCTGAATATTTCAGACTCGAGCCATCACTGGTACTTTTTAATGAAGAAATGTTTTTAAATAGCTCTGCTTTTCTCACGTCAAAAATAGTGTACCCTCTAGTGATTGACAGCCCACTTCTGCAAGCCCTCAATTACAAAGGTAATGCTGAGCAAGCCAATGGAACTCCAAGTCCCCAGTGGGACATTATAGTCATTTGGGCCCCAGGCCCAGTGATGGGGTAGAGCAAAGGTGGCAGTTGCCCCAGGGTCCTGTGAGTCAAAGGCGCCCAGGGCTACTGGCTGCCGCCACTGCTACCCCAGGCTCTGCACAGCTCTGAGGGCTGGGGGGAGGGGATGGCATGCTGCGCCTTGGCCCCACCCTTTCTGCCCAAGGCCCCACTCCTTCCAGGAGTGTGAAGCTGCTCCCCCCGCCCTCCCTTGCACCTTGCTCAGGAGCCCATAGCAGCTGTTGGCTCCACTGTTGGATCCTGATCCTGAAGTGCACTTCATGTGGGCAGAACTTATTGCATCATCCAGGCCCTAGCAGCTCCGTCCTGGTTGCAAAACTCTTGTTTTAGAAGAGGAAGGAAGACCAGGAGGGTGAGTACATCAAATGCAGGCAGGGATCAATAGGCATCGCTTCCACAGATCACAATCACAGTCTATGCCAATCACAACTGGTTCTAAGTTGGGCAGAATACAAATATTAATGGGAAAATAGTGTATATTTAGCACAGAGAAAGGACCTGATGCTTGAATTCATAAATCTGCTTTGTACCCATCCCGTGGCATAAAGTGGACTTAAACACATTGGATCCTGCCTCCTGAGAATCCCTCATTGTGGGGGAAACCTCTAGTAACTAAAGCCACCCTGGCAACTCCTAACCTACTAGCCCCTTTCTGAAGCCAAGTAACGGGTGTGTGTGGTTGCAATATCCCTTTGCTAAAGGGATCCCCAGCTACTGGAATAAATCAGGCATAAATAAATTACACAAGGAAAGTGACAGGACCCTAGCTAGCATGGACAGGGAATGTCAAAGCGACTTACACCCATCTTTGTCCCACACGAAGCCCTGATCCTGTGATAAGCTCTGCTCAGCCGACCAGAGGCTGTGGCCCTAAGAAAATAGGCAGAAGTGTAATGCCAGCAGACCTTGGGCATCTGGGGTGGAATCAAACCTGGGATGTCTGGTGCTTACTGCATGAGCCTCTACTTCATGAGCAGTGCTCAACAAATAATGCAATCTACTAGCCCATGGCGAGTAGATTGCAACCCGGAAGAGCCAGGTTCGGGAGATCTGCGAGGCTTGCCGCGGTTCGGCGAGCCCTGTTCATGAACTACTAGCTAAGGCTGTAGAGCAGACTCATTATTCTTTCTGTAAGTGGTCTTGGAGCCACTAGTTGGGACAGTAGACCACATCCAGTTGTGTTGTTATGGAATTGTCACAGGAAAGGCCACAGAAAGGTGTAAGTTACAGATTCCTTGAACTTCAGCTACATTTCTGGAACAAATAGGGTCCTGGCAGCAAAAGAGAACTGCTATTCCATTCTATCAAGGGCTGAATTTGGTCCCCCCAAGGACACCAGCTTGCTGTGAGTTATCCTTATCTTGCACATCTGCATGACAAATCAGTGGAAGTTTGGTCACATCTCCAAGACTTTCCACCGAGCCCCATCTTCTCGTGCTCTGCTCTTCGATAGGTATATAAGCAGCTACACCACAGGTTGGCCATCCCTGGTCCAATACCCTCAGGACTTGACCAGGCCCAAACAAAAGAGTTTGCCAGACCAGGGAATGTCAATGCCAGCCCCTTTTCTTCCAATGCCAAGCCCTGCCATTGGACACTGGGCCCTGCTGCCATCTACTGGGTTATGCTCCTGACCACCAGCTCCCAGGCTCTGCTCATGGCCAAAGCCCTGGTTGCCAGGCTCCAGCCTCCAGTCCTGGCTGAGCTCCGACTCCTGACCCCAGCCCTGGCCATTGAGCTCCAAGCTTGCCGCATTGCTTTTTCTCATGTGTGCTCCAGCCTCCGGGGTCCCCAGCAATACTGGACAATGGATGTTGTCAGACCAGAGTCTCCTGGACTAGAGCGGTTAGACCTACCTCAGTTCATTTTCTTCCCATTTGGCACCTACGTTACTTTGCTACTTAAATTCATTTTCTGCCCATTTTAGTCCTGACATTGATCTTAAACCCACTTTTAAATCATTGCTGAAATATGCCTCTGTGTCTAGTTACTAAGCCAATCATTAATTGTTAAACTATCTGAAATATTCAGATTTCCACTACTGTTGTTCCCCATACCCAAGACGTGTATAACTGCTCTGGTTACTATCTATGTTTGTCTCATTGCTGCTTCTGCATCATTCTGTGATGGTTAAATAATTTATTTCAACTCTTCTTTCAGTGTTGAGGTTGGTGTTCGTGTTGAGGCCTACAACTGTGAGGAGTGGACCAAGGGCCAAGCACGGCATATTAACAGCGCTTTTCTCATTTTTAATGCTGTAAATGACAAAGGAGAGCTCCTCGCTTTTCCCAGAGTCAAACCCACTACAAAGGTCAGCTCTTTACATGAGAGACAGAATGGCTTATATAGTCCAATCCCAAATAATGCATATCACACTGCCAACCCTTGGGAGCCCTTCTTGGGAAGTGACGCACTAAACAAGGGTATAAACTGAATCACTTTCTCGTCTTCCACCTTCAGAGGATATTCTGAATTTGAGAAAATGTGGAGGATAATTGAATACCTTCTAGCTTTGTAAAGGAGGTTGCTGGAGTCAGCCTCCCAAGTGCCATTGAATTTCAGTGGAAGTTGGTATCAGTTGGAAGCAGCAGGTGCTTTTGTGGAAAAACTTGCCAGTCTAGACGCAGCCACCGGATATTAACTCAAGTAGTAACAAGAGCAGAGAACCCTCTTTGAAGCAGAAACAAAAAAGAAATGTATTTCCACTGAAATTGAACAAGAAAAAATATGCCGATTAACAGACTAAAATAGAGAATTAGATGTAATATTAAAAATACCTAAATCATTCAGCACACATCCCATTGACATTCAGTGGGATTTATGCTCCTAAATTACTTAGGCCAGGTATATACTAGATCCAGAAGGTTAGCTTAGGGTACGCAACTCCAGCTATGTAAATAACGTGACTGGAGTCAATATATCTTAAGCCAACGTTGGCATCATCTTCACAGCAGTAATGGGAGCAAATGCTCCACCACTCAAATTGAGGCATACAGGTGCTGACTGGGGGTGCCCTCAGCTTTTTAGTTAGCCAGTCTTTACTAGACCCACTAAATCGAACACTAGAAGATCAATCTCACTGCAATGTTTAGCCTTGTATTTCTCTGTTGCGCCTTGCATAAGACCTCATAATAGTACAGTGCTACTAGGATACCCCAAATTGGTATTTACATTATTTTTCTTAATTTAAGGAATACTGTCACATAACAAAAACCCTGAACACATTCATACCTGAGGAAGTTTCATTGTTGATAAGTACAATTATTTTCAGAGAGACGGGTTTAAAAAATACTTTATTTTTGTTGTACGACAGTGTTCCTTTTAATAAATAATCCTTAATTGTCTTTAGTTGCACAACATTATCCAAGTAGAATGCATCGTAATTCATTCCGATTATTTCTGTTTTGTTTTATGTCTTCTGAAGGATGGTTTGAGAAGGTATCGTGGAGCGATTGCACGCAGGAGAATTAGACTAACCAGGTATAAATAAATTCCAAAGATAACTTGGTAGTGAAAACTATCTTCACAATGTGGCAGAAGGGAACTTTTTTATTTTTTACATATACTGTGCTCATTATTTTAAGTCTTCTCAGATGCAATGATTATAGTTACTTAGTAATTCTGGACCTGATCCTGTTTGCCTGAAATCAGTGGCTACTAGTCACCTGAGTAAGGCAAGAAATGTTTGGGAATTTTTGTATGTTCCACTATTTTCTGGGAGGAAAATATGAGCTAATGCTTATTTAACTCAAGGTATTGCTGTGAAGATTAATTAGTTAATATTTGTAAAACATTCAGAAGATGTTCAGTACTATCTATGTGGTTGTTATTGTTGTATGATGAAGGAAAGGCAAAGAGATAGTGACTGTTATTCATTTTGTTTCAATCTCCTTGTATATTTCAGAAAATACATCCTCAGCAATAAGGAAGACATTCCTTCCTCTGATCTCTGGGATAGAAGTAACCAGGTAATACTTACATCATCTGAATTCATCCACATACATAGTCTTGGACAAGGCTGGGCAAAATACGGCCTGGGGGGCCGGATCCAACCCACCAAGTCACAGGATCCAGCCCACGGACCACATTGCCAGGACCCTCAGGCACACAGCTGCTGTGGTTTAAAACCCACTCCTGCATTTCTCTGCTTTTCAGGGAGGTGGAGGCTTCATGCAATTTCCCTGCCTCCACCCCAATCCTCAGCTCCTATAGATCAGAAATAACCAGTCAGTAGGACCTGATCTCAGCCAATCTCTCAGATCCTATTGGCTGGAAACAGCCAGCCAATCAGAGCTGAGAGACTGGCCTGAGCGCCTGGGGGAGCTGGAGTTGAGAGGCACATGGAGGGAGCAGCCTGCATTTTCAAGCAGGCTGAGATTGCGGAGTCCAGCCTGCTGGCCAGGAGACACTTAGGTAAACTGTTTCCAGCCAGCACCTGCCTCTCATGCAGCCCAACTCTCTCTCCCAGAGCATCATCCAAACCCTCTGCTCTCTCTGTTCCAGGTGACAACTCCCTCCCAGACTCTGTCCCTCCTCCTATATCTCTCCCCCAGGCCAGAATCCTTTCCTGCACCCACACCCCCTCCCTGATCCTACACCCCAATTCCCTGACCCAAATCACAACCCCCTCCTCCACCCAAACACCCTCTCAGATCCCAATCATCTCCTGCACCCTAGTCCCTTACCCTGTGCGCCCTTCTTCACCCAACCTCCAACCTAGACTCTGCACCCCCTCCACCACTTGACCACTTAACCAAAATCTTGGAATGACCCCCTTCCCCCCACCAAAAATTATTGCCCACCACTGGTCTTGGGGCTTGTCTACACTGGCAAGTTACTGCACTGAAATTTTCTCGCTCGTGGGGGGTGAAAAATCACCTCCCCCCAGCCCAAACGCAGTAAGTTGCAAAGCGGTAACTTGCCAATGTAGACAGGCTACCAGTGCTAGAAACTACAGTCCTAATAGAGGTGTTTGGATACATCAGAACAATGCTAAATATCTGACCCAAACAGCTAGCATCTTAACTTGACCTGCTGTACATAGACATTGTAGGAATGTCAGAAGAGTGAGTACATGTTTATACTGGGTGGCTGAGTCTAGACTGGCAAGTTTTTCCGCAAAATCAGCAGCTTTTCCGGAAAAACTTGCCAGCTGTCTACACTGGCCGCTTGAATTTCCGGAAAAGCACTGACGATCTCATGTAAGATCATCAGTGATTTTCCGGAAAAACTATGCTGCTCCCGTTTGGGCAAAAGTCTTTTTCCGAAAGACTTTTGGCCAAAAGGGTCAGTGTAAACAGCACAGTAGTGTTTTCCGCAAAAAAGCCCCGATCGCCATTTTTGCGATCGGGGCTTTTTTGCGGAAAACACTACTGTGCTGTTTACACTGACCCTTTTGGCCAAAAGTCTTTCGGAAAAAGACTTTTGCCCAAACGGGAGCAGCATAGTTTTTCCGGAAAATCACTGATGATCTTACATGAGATCGTCAGTGCTTTTCCGGAAATTCAAGCGGCCAGTGTAGA